GGGTAATGGCTGCTAAACTGTAGGCAAACAGAGTTACAAGTCGGGATGTTTAGGGTTTCCTGCAACTCTCTTTACCTACAGTTTTAAGGGTTTAGGGTTTAGGGTTTAGGGTTTAAGTTTTGCAGCCAGTACCCCTTAATTAGTAAGTAGAACCCATATAAAACTGTAGGTAATTCGAGTCCCAGGTAGGGTTTAGGGCTTTCAGACTCTGCCAGGAAAACCCCCCCCCCCACGTGCCCTTGAACAGGGTCCTCAATAGCGGGCAGCTAGGATATACCACAAGATAGTTGGCGGGATCTGGGAAAACCCGCAACCCTGAACCTCGCAAAGCGACGTAGCACCCAAAGACCCCAAACCCTAACGCCCTAAACCCTACCCCAAAAGCGAAGTAGCACCCTAAGACCCTAAACCCCAAACCGCAAAACCCCTGCCCCAAAAGCGACAGTAGCCTAAGGCCCTAAACCTCGACCCCAAAAGCGACAGTGGCATCGCTGTTCGGCTCCTCGGTGGGTTGCTCAGAATCGCGGGCATTGACGAAGAGCCTGAGCCAGAAGCGCTCCTTAGGGTTTCTATAGGGCCCTTTGTGCTGCCTTGGGACCTAAGGCATAGGGCTTACGATTTAGGACCAGGGTTTGGGGTTTAGGGCTTTGGGTTCAGGGTTGAGGGAGCACCTTGGAAGATTTGGGCATTCCTAAACCCTAAACGCTCTGAGGTTCGATTCTTGGTATCCGCCCGTGTCAGGATGGGGTCGACGTCGCCGCCTCAACCCGCGACACTTAACCCTAAGCTCTAAACCCAGCAGGACCTCAACCCTAAACCCAAACCCCAAAAGGACCTCAACCCTAAACCCTCATCCCAAAAGGACCTCAACCCTAAACCCAAAAGGACCTCAACCCCAAACCCTAAACCCAACACAGTCAACCCAAAAAGCCCTCAACCAAGAATGGATGCCTTGAAGGTTGGCTCTTTTTTAAGCCTCGGAAAAGCTAGAATCCTTCCATAACACCCCACGGTTTTGACTCTCCAAAGACAACACTAAACCCTGAACCCTAAAGCCGTAAAAGCACAGACACGAGACCCATGATCCCCCAAACATGGATCCCTCAAAGGAAGCTGCAACCATATGACTCCTTATAGAACCCCTTGCAGGATCGGCTTAACAATTCCCTGCAGCCGTACGGCTTAGGGTTTAGGGTTTAGGATTTAGAGTTTAGGGTTTAGGGTACGAACCTTCTGGCATCCCTTCAAACAAGTCCGCCTTTCAAGGAGCTCTGAAGCCTAAATCCCTTAAACCGGAGATCCTTTATAAAAGAATCCTACCAACAGTCCCTTAAACGGAAACCTAACGGGATCCCGTAATAGTAATTAAACTCCCCTGAACCCCTAAACTCTTACAGGACCCCTTAGCCTTAAACCCTTAAAGGAATCGTTTTGGGGACCCTCAAACCCTAAACCCTTAGAGGAATCGTTTTGGGGACACTTAAACCCCAAGCCTAAACCCCTAAACCCTTAAAGGAATCGTTTTGGGGGACACTTCAACCCTAAACTCTTAACGGAACCGTTTTGGGGACCCTTGAACCCTAAACCCCTAAACCCTTAAAGGAATCGTTTTGGGGACCCTTGAACCCTAAACCCTTAAAGGAATCGTTTTGGGGACCCTTAAACCTTAAACCCGTAAAGGAATCGTTGTTGGGGACCCTTAAACCCTAAACCCTAAAGGAATCGTTTTGGGGGACCCTTCAACCCTAAACTCTTAGCGGAATCGTTTTGGGGACCCTTGAACCCTAAACCCCCAAAATCCTTAAACGAATCGTTTTGGGGACCCCTAAACGGTTCCACTCAAAACAAAAAGCGAACACACCCTAAACCCTGAACCCTATACCCTAAACCCTATACCCTAAACCCTAAACCCTAAACCCTAAACCGCACCCATGGAGCCCGGGAAGCTCTACTCGCTCTGCGTTCTTCGTGGCGAGGAGCCTGGACGAGACTCGGCCAGGGTTTAGGGGTTCCCTTTAAGGTTCAGGGTTTAGGGTTTAGGGTTTAGGGTTTAGGGTTTAAGGTTTAGGGCTTTGGGGGGTGGGGGGGGGGGGTAGAGGTTTAGGGTTTAGGGCTCAGGGGTTTGAGGGTTTAGGGGTTAGGGCTTCTTTTCAGGGTTTTGGGGTTTAGGACTACACCGGGAAACTTGTACTAGTATTTCCGAACCTGTTGTATGTCTCCCTAGTCTTCCAGACCTGTGACTTACCGTGGCCCAGAAAACCTACCCTAAACCCTAAAGGCCCTAAACCCTAAGCCCCAAACGCACACGCCTCTACCATCGTGGATCATAGTAACTCTCGTCTTCCAGATAGCGCAAAGTAAGTCGTAAGTATAGACGGTTTAGGGTTTGGGTCTAGGGATTT